TATATATGAAGAACCCAGAGAGGGAGTATTTTTTAGAGTTTTGTAACTGGTCCAGCCTCAGATTTATGGATCACAAGATGAGACTAGAGGGGTGCCTGGGTGACTCAGTCGGTTAAGCATCTGCCTTCAGCTGGGGTTATGATCCCAGGGTCCTGGGATTGAGCCCTGTCGGTCTCCCTGCTCCATGGGGAGCCTGTTTCTTTCTCTCCCTCTGCCTCTTCCTCTGCTTGTGTACTTCTCTGTCTCTCTCTCTCTGTCTCTCTCTCATGCACATGCATTCTCTCTTTCTCTCTGTCATGAATAAACAAAATATTAAAAAAAACCCAGATGGGACTAGAAAGTTCATTTTGGCAGTCATACTCTTTTAGGAAACTTCATATGCAACCCTCAGTGGTTATCGATGACTTGTCTATCTGGGATAAGTGAATAGTCAAACAGTAGTTTGACTTAGAGCTAGAAAACCATGAGATTGGGTGGAGTCACTCTCTAAATTTCAGTCCCCATGAAATCTGTGGCTTTCCATGGAGTTCAATTCAGCAATGTATGAGGCTGAATGTACCTGCAACATCCGTCCACAGTGATGCCGAAACATGGAACTGAAAGATCGTGGTCTTTGGAGTTGGCCAGGTTGGCATTTGGCTCCCATTCCAGCCTCTTTGTAGTTGGACTTATGCTATTTCTTTCTTGCTTTTCTAAGTCTCAGTTTCCTCATTTAAGAGCAAAAAGCAACAGACGCTTAGTATCCATTGCTTAGGGTTGATGTAAGATTTGCTGCAGTATATATTAAGTGTTTGATATACTGAGATACTTAATAAATGTTGAGATGTTATTTTTTATGATGCACATCCCCAACTCATTATAGTTTTATTTTTTATTGTAGACTCTTCCCAAAATCCTTGATAAGCTAGCCCCAGCCTTCACGATGAGCAGCTGCAGCTTTGTCGTGGAGAAATCCCGAGCCTCCACAGCCCGGGTGGTGGTGTGGAGAGAGATGGGGGTGTCCAAAAGCTACACCATGGAGAGCAGCTACTGTGGTTGCAACCAGGGACCCTATCAGGTATGTGAGGCTCCAGCATACACGTGCTTTCTGTCTGGCAGCAATTTACTGTAATGGGGGGGGTGGCTATCAAAGACCACTCATTTCTTCTTTCTCTCCCGAGAGCGGAAGAAGTCTCCAGGTAGTCTGGCCCAGCGACCTGATCTTGCAGAACTAGCTCAATGATTGCCTTCACTGGCAGCACTGTCTGTGTTGATCCTGCAAGCTGTCTGTACGTTCCTGCTGATTTGGTTTCTCAAATCATCTGCCCTTGCCAGCAAGTGGCAGGGAGCCTCCCTGAGACATGTACCCAGCTTTGATGGAACCTCTGCCCGGCCCTGTTCTATGCATGGGGGTCTCCTGTTACCCTCTGCACGAGTCAAGTAGCTCCCCTTGCATCATCAAGCCCATAGGTTGGTGCATAGATAGTGTGCTCTACATCGTGTATCATATGCCTCTATCTTACGTGCTTATCTAAATCAGCAGCTCTCTGTTACCCTGCTGTCCCCAGAGTACACAGAAGTGAGTACCTGACATGCATCTCCCCCGTGTGAGTGGGTCTGGGACTCAGGCTCCAGTGTCAAGGGAAAGGCTCGTCTAAATCATGTTCTTTCTACAGCTGCATTAACTGCACAAGCAGCTGGATAGCTGCTGTAGCAGGCTCTTCTAGCTGTTCTTCCCACTCCCCCACTAGAGGAGCATAAATAAGGGACACTGTGACAGTAGTCCCATGGTAATAGATTCTTTTAAATTTGTTAGGTGAGCTGACAGCCTTCCATTCAACCCCAAGGATACCTGGACCTTACTGGCATTAAAGCTGATTGTGCTGGCTTTGATTCTCCTGGAACAGCCAGGAAGCACTTGGCATCTACGTGGTCCTGTGCTCGTGAAAATCTGTTAGCTATCAAACGGAGTATAGGGAGTGACAGGTGATGAATATTATCTAGCTTCCCACTGGCCCAAGAGTTTTTTTTTTGATACTCAGGGCTACTGAACCACCAGCTTTGACCTATTAATTCTGTCAAATAGCCAATTTGTTTAAGCAGTTGCTAAAAATAAGTGTTCTCTTACTGAATTAATAAATTATTAGATTGAATTAGTCCATTTTACCCACATGAATGTCGATGCAGAGTAAGTAGAGATCATTGGAGGGGCATGGGATCAGGCACCAGCAGACCTCCCTTTTCCACTTATCAGCAATGTTGCAAGCCACATACCTCTATGAACCTGTGTGTCATGTATCAGATATTGATATTCATAAAGATTCCTTTCCTCCCCGCCGCACAAGAGTTTTGTAAAGGCCAAAAGAGAACGCAGATAGGAATGCACTTGGAGGTTACATCATCAGGAATAGGTTCGGTCTCTTGGCATTCAAAACCCATAGGATTGGGAAAAATAGGTTTGGAATATTGTGACTCTGAGGCCTTATGGATATAGACTTGTACCCCTCTAGTTGTGTGCCTCTTAATGAATAGGGGCCAGTCCCTTGTCTAAAGGACAACTGCATGCATCCTTCACAGATCTGTTGGATTGGTGACTTTTCATTGACTTTGTTTCTCCAAGCGCCAATTCAGACTCACAGCTTCCGATCAGATAACCATCAATGCCATTCACCGTAAGTCAACTAGAAACTCAAAGTCCTCCGGAGTTGTGGTTTGAAAACTAAATGACTCATAGGTTCAGGCCCCTACCCACCCACCATCTTCCATGTAACAAACACAGGGGCTGTTACAAATGACAAAGGATGAAAGAAGCTTGCCCAATGGGATGGCTTTCACGTGTCATCTCAGCGTTTGCCCTGTGCAATTGTCCACGTGGTCTTTGCCTGAGGTCTTTGTAGGAAAGGATGGAGAAGGAATTGGCTAGAGAAAGCCCTAATGGTGCCAGACCTGGTTTTACTTTAACAATCCCATTCTCTATATGACACACCTCTCCGAATGGATTGGTTTTCTCTTTCCCTTTGTTTTTCTGTCCTTACAAACATTGTTAGGTCACTGAGCAGAATTGCAGACAGTGAGTAAGAGGATGGTTAATAATTTTACATATGGGGGGGCACCCCAGGGGAAGGAAGCCAGCCCAGAGTTGGGTGTTTTGGTGATTTTTGTTTGAGGTGTATAATGAAGTCTATGAGCTATAAAGCAGTATAGAAATTTCCATCCTGAACATATTGCAAATGATTTTTGTACACTGAGAAGCTTAGTCCCAATTGAGTCCTGAGGTTATTATTCTAAGGTCATCTTTCCATTTTTTGTTTAGCATTACCATTTATCCAAAAGATGGAGGATACTTAAGTACACCCACGAGGGGCATTCCTTCCTTCCTTCATAAGAATATAAATATTTTTGCAGTTTCTCTGGTTAACGTGGCTTTAAAGTAGTTCCAATCATTTCTCCCCCAGCACACTAAGTACCTGATTTGTTAGTACTGAAATGAAATATCATTTCTTACAGTGACATTTATGTTGGAACTGCATTAAAGAACATAAGCTATTACCTTCAAATAATTATTATTAATATGATATTTTCTCTTCTATTTTCCAGTCTATAGTTGGCTAATTTAAAAAAAAAAAAAAACAACTCTCTCCCTTTTGTTTCTTTGGAATATAGTCTCTACTGCTAGGTTATACACTTACATCCATAATTTGTATTTAATATGGAAGTCCCACCCACCGAGAGATTTACTTTACCTATTAGGGATGGGCCCAAAGCTATTGAGGCTGTTGAGGGAAAAACCAAAATGGAATCATGCATCCTCTTGGGGCTCATTTTTCTAGAGGCATCCAGTCTATGTTGATAGCTGTGTACCTCCCACTGAGTGTTTGTGACCTGGGGTCACATACCTGGTGTGTTGGCACATACAAAGGCATGTGACTGGGCCCCATGGGCTGCTTGTGGCTCAGGAGGACAATGTGAGTACTCCCACCCAAGCAGGCTCTCCACATGCTCGTTAGTAGTACTGCTGACTTGGGAGCAGAGTGGGTCTTAGTCAGAGGAAGGACAGAAGATGGGTAACTCAGGGGAGGTCTGAAGGTCTCAACTGATACATAAATCCCCCTATCTGCACACTGCTTCCCATGAACCTTCCAGCAACCCATAGGCTCCATCGCCAACGGAGGGGTTTTTCAGTAACCCAAACCTATTCAAGTCACAGTATTGCCCGTAATCCTTGACTGTGTCTTGAGAAATTCCAGCTTATTATTATGACGGGTAAGGCCTTTTACAATCTCATTCATTTTTTGAATGCTCAGTACTTGTTTAGCCTAGAAGAAGTGTTGAATCTGTGATGATTGACAAATGAATGGATGAATAATTGAACAAATGGGTGGCAATTTCCATGTAGAGTCAGATGATTATCCTCTCTGTCCATAGATCACTAGAAAAAGGAAGAATTGTCATGGTCCAAATGCAATTAGAAGCCACTTTCAAGTGGAGATTTTTAGAGTTATTGCAATGAGTAGTCATGGAAAATGTGTGTGGGGAGTGTGTAAGAATGCAATGCAGAGACCTCTCCGATCTGTCTCTATCTGCATGATTTGAGAGCACCTAATATACAATATCTTGAATGGATTCTTTCCTAGAGTAAGGAGATTCTAGTCCAGGCAGACTTTCACATGGCCACATTCTAATAACAAATGATGATTTGACAGAAGGACTGCCACTCATATGAGGGGGGTTGGGGGGAGCTGCTGAAGTGCACCTGCTAGTCCAGGACCAAGGTGCTCATTTCCCAGATGCTTACAGCTGGGTCCGTCACCAGAATTTGTCTATAGCTGATAGAAGCAGCCTTGACCAAAGCTATGGCTCCTTCATGTGAACATCATGCATCCAATGGTGGGTCTAAGGTGGGTACAAAGGCTAGGCCTCCTAGCCTCAGTTGGGAACACTCCACAGGGCCGTTGCAGCTCCAGAAACTCCCTGGAGGATTACCCAGGGCCTCTGTCACAATTGTACTATGGGTCAGCGTCCTCCTTGGCCCACTTCTGATTTTTTCACCACTCACAGGTGCTGTTCTGGGGACTGTGGCCCAAAAATCCTTCTGCAGAGCAGCTTACACCTGTATGTCAAAAAGGCTGGGATTAGGAAATAGGGGAATTAAGTGCTTAGCTAGTGAAGATGGTTTGATGGGGATGAATTTCATAGAGGAAACTGAGTCATCTCACTTGGCTTTCAGGGCCCCTGGTGTCCTCTTCTTCCCACTCTGCATTCTTATCTGCTTAGGGAAGTGAGCCCACGCAGAGTTGGAGACCTCAGCTCAGTGCGGCGCCTCTGCCGCCCTCCTGCTCCATTGGAAGGAAGGCTGGGTGTATGAGGTTCCTGCGGCTGCCATCAAATGTGTGGCTTAAAACTACATAAATGTATCCTTTCACAGCGCTGGAGGCCAGAGGGCTGAAATCAGGGTGCCGGCTACACTATGTTCTTTCTAAAGGCTCCAGGGGAGACTGCACCATGCGTTTCTCTTAGCCTCTGGTGTGTCTTGGCTGGTAGATGCAGCACTCTTTCTCCACCTTTGCCTTTGCATGGCCTTCTCCACCCCTCTCCCACTGTCTTTGTGCAACCTTTCCCCCACTTAAAAAAGGTTATTTGTTTATTGTTTTTGTTTATTTTTTATTGAAGTATCATTGACATACAATGTTACATTAGTCTCAGGTATAGAATATAGTGATTCGATAACTCTATATGTTATTGGTGTCTCCTCTTCTTATAAAGACACCAGTCATAGTGGATGTAGGGCCCACCGTACCCCACTGTGACCTCACCTTAACTAATGACACCTGCAACATCCCTATTTCCAGATCAGGTCACATCCTGAAGTTCTGAGAAGGACATGGATTTTGGGGGGGACGCCATTCAACCCAATACACAGGGTCAGGCAAGGAGGCACAGAATATACAGATCCAAACACCAAAAAGAAGTTTGTTTGTTTGTTTGTTTTTTAAGATTATTTATTTGAGAGAAAGAAATCGGGGGGCAGAGGGACTTGGAGAGAGAGAATCCTCAAGCAGATTCCATGCTGAGTGCAGA